TCAGAACATTATTGAATAGCACACATTTAGTAGCTTTAAGTATGTCTAAGAGTAACAAGCACAACACTAACTTAGAACTTAGAAGCATATATATATATATATAGACAAAAACATATAACTATCAGAGTCTCAATCCCAAAGAAGCTTCATTCACATAAACCAAGCGATACAAGAAGACCACAGATATGCTCATAATCCCGAAACAAGCAAACTAAAAGAACTCAATTGCCTAAGGCAAAGCAGCACAAAGGCCAAAAACAAATTGTCATACGATTTGAAACCAATAAAAGGATACCCTTTTTGTCCAGTTATAGGGTAAAATGTGAGTAAAATTCATAAAAAAAAAATCAGGAAATCCCCTGAATATTATAGGCTTAACTCAACAAGACAAGTCCCTATGTCAACAAGCCAATTCATAGCAATCTGATTGATTGGAAACTAAAAAAAAATCTGTTGAAAAAGTCAAAATTGTATCACGAGAAAACGAAACGGCTAAGATGATAGATAACTCTCGGTACCAGCTGAGTAAAACAAGAATTCCATCAGCTGAAACAAGCAAAAACAGAATCGAATGAACTTACAAGAGGAAGTAGTAGTGGTTAGTCCCTGAGAGAGACGAGACGAGACGGCGACATGCCAAATGATCGATCACATAGAAGATGATCCATGACCACATACATGCTCTCCAGTTCGGTTTAATCCAACTCCACTCGACCGAACCAAAGTAAATTTAAGAAACCATATACCAATGTAATAAAAGTCGAACAACGACGTCGTGTCACATACATAAACAAACTTAATAAAGAAAAGCCCAATTAAGGAGAAGCCCATATTTTCAGACAAGATCCGTAAATATATATATATGACACGGACGAGGGTAAAGATGTAAATTGGAAGAGATCAGTGACCAAATGGAAGGAGAACAGATAGCGCGGCTTTTCTGACAATATTCTCTGTACGATGCTTTTTTTTTTCCCCACTCACCAGAGTTACTTACTGCTGCTTCTTCTCCTTTTCCTTCATTCATACATCTCTCTCGACCTTCTCTAATAATAATCAACCAAAACAAAAAATTAAGACTTTTCAGTTTTTATTTTCAGAACTAATAGAAAAAGGAGTATCAGAAAAGTAAAGTAAGAAACCAAAAAGTAAAAGACAATTTCGACCCATTAGGTCAATTGACTGGGAATGGAAATATTTGAGGAAAGGGTTTTTAAAAGCAGAAAATCTCTACTTTTTTTGGAATTTGAAATCACAAAGTTTAATTACTGAATTTAATGACATCTGTTTAGATATCAATAATAATACTTGCTCTCTTCCCTACTCACATTTATATTGTGCTCTCTCTGTCCATATACTGAAAAACTTGAATAGAGAGTAAAGACATTATTGCTACACTTGCTTTCTCTCTCTCTCTTGCAAGTTGTTAGAAACATTTCTCCTTCTTTAATCTCCTCCTCCTCCTGTCTTTGTCTTTCGTTTTCATTTCTCATCTTTCGATTTTGTTTTGCTTTTATTTATGGGTTTCTCTTTCTTTATTAAATTTTGAATCTTTTTCTTTCTTTTTGTTTTTTCTCTCACTCTCTTCCTCAGTGTACTAGTTTCAGTGGAGTGTTGATTTACCAGGTAATGCTAGTGATTGATGAATCGTATCTGAACTTTCACACAAATGCTCTTGTTCCTACTGATCTTGTGAAAATTTTGATTCTTTCTTTATGCATTTTCCATCTTC